CCAGCAGCATGAAGCTAGCATTTTTACCTCTGCAGTGTGCTGCCATTGCAGCACTGGCTGTTTTTCATGATTAGCAAATAACTTTCTGCATTGCAGGTTTGCATGCATGCAGCTTTCTCATCTCTATCATCTCTGTCGTTAAAAATAAAAGGATACAATGAGATCTACAAATTATGTTTCAGACTGGTTTGTAGTTAATGTAAAGCTTGTACTCTGAGAAAATTGAATACCGAGGTTAGGAGACTAAAGGCTTTTTGTACCTTTTCATGAATAGACAATTTCAAAACTTTATTACCCATAGGACACCTGATGAGAAAATAGCCTTATTTCAAATCTTGAAAGTGGGAGCTAGCAGAGAGTTTTCTGGGGGCAGCAGAAAGAGGAACTGTCAGTTCAGTAAGGCACCATCTTCCCCAGGTTGTTTGAAGGATAAGTTGGTTGCTCTGAGCCCTGGCATTGTCAGAAGGAGCTCAGCCTGGTCCTTTCTGTCCCTTGTGATAATAAGGTTTATATCATGCATGAAGTTACTATGACACTCAAGACCTGATCACCAGAGAAAATCCTTATTTTAGCAGTTAAGAGAAACATTGCGAAGTATCTATTAACTTAAATTCTGTCTGTATGTTGACACCAGTGAAAAGCCAAATGATGAGTGCTACATCTCAAGGCACTAGGATAGCTGTCCCAACACTGACAATTGTGAAGCCAGATATAGAACTTTTGGTCTATAAAATTGTGATTGTGAACAGAGGAACCACGTGAAAGACTGTATTCTGAAATTCTGAAGCAGAACTGGTAGGCTTTATCTGTATTTCAGATCTGATGTCATTAAAAAAAAAAAAAAAAGAAAAAGAAACAAGAGCACATTTATTTGCAGTCTTCTTGTCCTGGATGTTAATACAGTGGAATTTTGTAATGCTTTGACTTCCAAATATCAAGCTATTGCTTCAATAGTTGTTTGCTGATTTACGGGTCTAACTTTGGGCATAATAGTTGAAAAATATGTGGAGATACTAAAACCATGAGAATGTATGCAGGAAGGAAAAAGTAACAGGGGTCAGGGCAGCCACTTGATCTCTCCATTTTATTTTTCCAGAAAGGATGCATCATCTTTGGACCTTGGCTAAAAATATTGGCTGGTTGCACAATAGAATATTGCAGCTTCCAGTGCTTATGCTGTTTGTTCCCTTGCTATTTGTGTTTTTGTACTCCTGGTATAAGATGTCCCATAACAAACTAGTAAAATTGAGAAATGAAGAGGATGAGATATTGAATTAATGCCTATTGCTTTACCTTCTTTCCGCAGAGGGTTTCTTGCCCTGATAAAATATTGAACATTTTGTGAATGAATGCAACTTCCTAGCTTTTGTACATCATTGTGAACTTGAGGCAGCTGTAGTTGCTGAAGGTTTTGTGCTTGCTGCACTGTTAAGTTTGAAAAAATGTGTCAGGTTACCTGGTGCCTCTATGCCTAAGTAATTCACAGTATAATGTTGTTAATCTGCAGTTATCTGAATGCCTTCTATTTGGCACCAGAACAAATAGCTGTCTTTTCTAGCATCTCAGTAGGTTCATTAGATTAGCTTGTTATTTGGATTGAACATTATTTTAATAAAATACAGTATTATAAATTTACTGATTTGTTTGTTAATGTGCTGCAAGGTACCATGATGAGTCATTACAGCTAATCTTATTTGCTGGAATAAATGGACAAGATATATCTGGTGAAGCTATATTCCTGATGTTTTTATATTCTGTCTATTTGCTTTCTTAGCAATTTGCTTTGCTTAATAAATCTGCAGGCTTTCCTCCTCTCGTTAGTTCAAGTTAAATATGGAAGGAAATTTCCTTTCAGGTACACTACATTTTCCTTCCAAAACATGATTTTTAATGTCCTTTAGGCAAGGGGAAATAATTTTATGAAAGTGGATATGGACTGTTTTTTCCACAAATCCCACACAATGTTTTTTTGCATTAGTATAATTGAAACATGTGGCACACTCCAGCTTTAGTCTGGGTGTCAGTGATACCTTTACAAGTTCCAGCATCGTGTAGGCCTTATTGTATAATAAAACAATTTGATGAAACCTGTGCAGAGCTTGTGTGGTGTGCCCAGTTCTATGGGAAGAATCGCAGGGAAAAAGAAAACAGCTCCTTCTTGACAAGATCAACTCTCAGAAGCAAATTAAAATGACCATGTGTGTTATCTGGGCCCATTGCTGTGACATGCTGCATAACAGTGTATCCCTGACCAGCTATAATCTGTCTTTTCTGAACAATGTAGTCTTCTTCCTAATTTATTTGCTGTTATCAAAAATCAATACTACATTACCAAAGCATATGAATTGTGCTTTTATGTTATTATGAGTAAAATGCTTCTGTTTAAGGAGCCATAGCAATAATCAGCAGGAAGGGAAATAGGATTACACTGCATTGCTATTCTGTAACGCAGTGTGTTGGAGCACCAAAAGGTCTCTAAAAGCATACCTGTAACTTGAAGGGAGGAAGAAAGGGTGTTATGTGCCATTTCCTCTGCTCTTTCTATTTCCTCAGTTCTTTTTGTGCATTCCCTTCTGAGGGAAAATGCTCAAAGGGAATCTAGTATAACAATAACAGTTCATTACAGTGTGCGGCCCAGGCAGAGAAGAGTTCAGTTTGTTATTTAATTTGTTTGGATTGTCAACAGCTGTAACATCAATAGGTTGAGATGCTTGCAAAGACTTCCTTTCTCTTAAAACATTGCAACATGAATGAGAAAGTCTTGAGTACTTAAAGTCAAAATGTGTTTTGTACTCTATTCTGTAATTTTGGATTTTAAAAAAAACTTCTTTAAAATTCACTTACCATTAGAAATGTCTATATTTGGAATGGTATTATAATTTGCCAAAGATTCTTTAGACAGCAGTTGCCTTTACAGTTCAGAAAGTAGGAAAGAGGAATGACAGTAGGCTTTTGTTTTGACACATGATCTCTAGTAATAAACAGTGATAGTTGATTTACTTGTTATTACAGGGTAGTTCCTCTCTTTCTGACAGTTGATTTTATTTTTTTTAATACATTTTTTCTTTATACATTCTTTTCTTTAATACATTTATTTTCCTCTACTGATTGTAGTTAACAGTTTGATACTTGGTGTCAGTTTTAGTTGTGATAAACTTTACACAATTAGCTTGAGTTATGAAAAGGATGACATAAGTCAGCAGCTTTCCAAATCTTGACATTTTATGAACCAGCATTTCATGGATTTTGCTTTCCATATAGGAATTGGAATTCAAATTCTGGAAAGTGGTGTTTTCCAAGTATTGTATTTTCATCTTACTAAAACTTCTCATATGCTTTCTATCACCTTGACATCACATTATAATTGAATAAGAAGTTCCAGCATGTGGGCAATTAGTACTAATTTTTACTTTTATTTAATAAAAGAATGTATTGAGTCTCACTATGATATGTATTAATTATGGCAAATTATTCTCAGTTAATTTTTTTTCTGTTCTGTAGCTCTTCCTTGGCCATCTTTTACTTGGCTGTGGTGTTTAGTACGATTACAAGAAAATATAGATAAATTTTTACTTCATTTTGTAAGTAAAATCTAAGTTGGAATAGACAAAATTATCCCAGAGGAGTTCTTATAAGAAAATGACCCCTTCAGTGATTTTGTTTCAGAATTTCTTTCATTTCTTGTACTCTTTCCTGCAGACCTGTTGTGATAGTTGACCCTTTAATTACCAGTTTAATTGCTGTCTTTCCACAAAGATAAGGGTTTGTCAAATCTAAGTATGTAGCTCTTCTTTAGAGGGAACCATGGTGGAGAAAGGCTGAAGCGTTGGCAAACTAGCAGTATAGGTGTCTGTAGTAGGAAGACTGCGTATATTCTGACAGAGTGGCAGCTATGAAAGTGCAGAAGTTAGAGGATATGAAAATTCTCTTAGAAAACTCACATTTATGCAAACACAAATTTAGTAGACCTGTAGTCTACGGAGAAGATGAAGTAGAACAGAAATTGCTGCGGAGTGTTTTGGTTCTTCTGAGTGATTACAGCTCTATGTTGTTTTTTGTTGGTTTTCTTTTTCTTTTTTTTTTTTGCCTTAAGTAATCTTAATAGCCTGCTTCCCTGAGTTAGCAATAACTTCCTAACTAAATGAAGCTTCAAAGACAAAATGCCAGTTTTTCAATGCCAAAACTTCTCACGGGAGAGTACAGCTTGCAGTTGGTCTCTCAGTTGACAAAGACTGGTGAGAAGGTTAGCTGCTGTAACATTATTTTATTTTTTAATTGGAAAGGATCTTCTGCTTACAAATTTCATTTATTTATGTATTTGATAACCAAAAAGGAGGAGATCATACATACGACACGTGAAGCTGATGATGGTGCTATGGAAATGATAATAGTTTTAAAAATTAAACGAATATGCCTTCCTTTGTGATGATACCATTTCAGTGCTTGCCTCATCAAGCATTTTGTCCAAAGGCATTAAGGTCTATTGAAGCCTTATATCTGTCCTTCCTTATATTCTGCTATGACCTAAGAGTTTTGGGATGGATGTGTTCTGTTATACTCTGCTGGTATTCTGCAAAATCTGTGTCCTCTAAAAATCAGCAGGAATGTGACTCAAGATTGCTGTTCTCATTTTTTCTTTAGGTATTAGAACAAAGGCAGACCAGAAAAATAAGAGCAATACTTTTACTGGAGAAGCTGCAGTGTCTACATATTTTAATATTGCCTTCAGAAGACAGTTTCTAGACTCAAAAATCACAGTTTTCCAGTCAAGCCATAGGAGGGCTATGAACTCAAATGCGTTTTTCTTTCCTTGCAGTTTGATCTTTGTTCCATCAATTTTCAGCGCTTTGTGACAATTTTGCTTGTACTCAGTTGTCTACTGAAGAGTGAGTGGTCTTGAGACTTTCCTGAGAGACGCCACTCACGTTTGTCTCTTTGTTAATAACACAACTGCCTAACTGCAGTTGTTTTTAATGGTGGGACGTTTCTTTTGGCACTAGGTGATGCAGATGTACCTCCCATTCTGTGGGATTGCCATATCCAATGCCCAGCTATTTGCAGCCTCAAGGAAGGAATATGACAGAAGCAGGGTGAGTAACAAAATGTAAGTAAGTTGCTCCAAAAGTAATGCCTCCTATTTATTTCTATGGAAACTATCTTAGATACAAAGAGCACAATAACACTATTTGATAGAGCAAATTGTCAGATACAGAATTCTATTTTTTAACGTAGACAACACCATCAGCTATGCATTTTTGCCAGTGATGAAAAAGAGCCTGCATGCTATGCTCTTAAAAATCTATATAGTTGACAAGATCATGGCTTGTCTTCCATGTTGCTGTGACCACTGCTGAAACACCCACTGCTTCAGTGTATTCACATCTGTTGTTTGGTCTCCATAAACAATTCAGTAAGTGTCAATGAGTGTCAGTGGTGCCATCTTTTTCTGCAAGGAGGAATTCAATGGCATACCTTTGCTTCATATGCACTTCCATTTCAGGCACCATTTTAACAGACTGCCCCTCTACTGCCATCTGTCACAGCAACAACATGTAATGGAATACTGGCAGGAAGGTTGAAACTACTGCCATACCAGCAATGTCCACCTCTGATGTTGTGGACCAACATAATAAAATAGGAGGCAGTGCTTTTTTGAGCAGTCCTCGTGTGTTGGACCAGTATCAAATCTTCATCTTTTGTTCTTTCAGATTCCAGATTTCAGACTTTTTGCTAAGCAGACTGTCTTAACTACATTTTATTTCCAAGGATGCATTTCCAGCAGATAGCAAACTTTACTAAGGCAGCAAGCAGGGAACGTGGGAGGAAAAGCTCTTGGTGATATCTGTTGTTTCCTGATGTCAGTTTATTGTTTTGGAGTACTGAGACAATTGTACTGGTGACAATGCAGTAGAATTACATTGGCAGTGATTCAAACTCTAGTAAAACTCCAGAAATATCAAAACTTCAGCATTCTGGATTTGTGATATTCAATTTGTGTGTGAATAATTTAGATTCATCCTTATAAAAGTAAACAAGCAAAGACTTGTATGTGAAAGATTTCAACAATGTGGATCTGCATAGGTATGTTACTCATGGTTGCTGATGACATGTGAGTTGGGATAGAAGGCTTCAAAGAAGTGAGAGTAACAGTGAGCTCACATGCCCTTGGCTTTTTGGTGTGACTTTTATTTTTTTAAGAAATGAAATTGTGATTCGGGAAGTTTTTTCCTGATTTTTCACACTGAATTTTCAGTTGAAATGCCATCTGTAGTGCCTAACAAATCTTACTTCACAAAGCTGGGGAAACTACAGTGGGGTTGGTCCTTGTATCGAGCACTAACATTTTCATTGCTTGGATTTTAGTGCTTTTCATGTATGGAGGCTAGTGATTCCCACTCAGCTGAAAACTAATAGCCCATTCTAATAATGTGTAGATGTTAAGTATTGTTAGATATTTGAGCTTGTCTTTTGTCCAGCTCCAACTAATGGCTTCTATATTTTGGGTGTGGAGGTGTGGAGGAGGCTTGGAAAAAAATGCTTTTCTGCTACTGTTTGTGGTGGTGATGGTTTTTCTTTGTTTGATGTTGAAACAAAATTTTTTGAGCGCTTAGAGATATAAAATTTGCTACAGATTCCCAGTGTTCTGGACACAATGAGGAAGCAACATTTAATCTTTTGAGAGACATTCTTTCTGCAGAAGAATATTTTGGATGTTCACATTTGTCATCAGAAAATAGTAAATTCTGGTGAGTGGATGCATTAGGAAATACAGTTGGAGATGCAGCTATTTTTTCTTAGTGCTTCAGCCATGGAAAGCATAACAAATACTTGTTGCCATTTTACAGGTATATGGTAATCTGTACTTATGTTTCCGACCTGTTGATGGTCTTCAGCTTTGGCTGATGATTGAAAATAGTTGGCAATTAAAATGTGATAGTTAAACCCATATTTTGGCCTCCCCATCAATGAGGACATGAGTAGTGGCAACTTTAGCAACTGTGATCAACATTTTGATGACCAATGCATTGGGATAGCTAAGGCCACTAATGCTTTTATGCTTACCTAAATGGGCAGGTTTTCAGTTTCAGTGCCATTAGCCAGAATAAAGGAAAGAGCTTTGGACCTTTTTTGAACTTGTAGGAAAGAACGTGACCCATTGTTTTTGTAGGTTATGAAATGAGAAGGGGAGCTCTTCATTTTAGGTCATTGTATTTTACAGATAAATTGTTAGTGGTAAAAATGGGATCAGAGCTCTGTTGGAATATAAAAATATTAATATAATCTTTTTTCTCAAACTTTGAACATGAAGTTGGAAATAAATGCACTAGCAAATTCACTGTATCAAATCAAGTAACTCAATCCATACTGCATACCTGGGGGGTTGCATTCCACCCATTGTTTCATTTTTGGACCAAAATGAAACAGTTCGTAAGATTCTATTTTTATTGCTAGGAGTTGAACTGTGGTCAGTTTTGAGTATAGAGATGTGTACTTATTTATTTTTCTAGATGCTCCTCGGACCACACACCACTGACTGTTGCCATAATCATTAAGAACTTTGTGAATGAAGATTTCAGTTACCACTCATACTAAAATCAAGACTGCAGAGATTGACTCCTTGCAATGCTCCATATATTCGTGTATTCTGTAACCAGTATAAGAGTTCTGTATCCTTGTATACAGGCTTTACTGGAAGTAGTGAACGACCTCTTTGAAGAACAGACTGACTTAGAGAAGATTGTCAAGAAAATAATGCATCGGGCCCAGACTCTACTCAAGTGTGAACGGTGTTCAGTATTACTTCTGGAAGATATTGAATCCCCTGTAAGTATACCTGTACCTCTTGTTGAAGGGTTAATATATGAGTTGTGTAGCAGCTTTTTTTGTACTGTGGAGAAGCTGTTTCATATTGAATGTAAGCATTGGATAGCAAGAATTCTTTCAGCATATAATTATTCAATGCAAGTTGCATACAGGTACCTTTATCCAGTACCTGTTTGAAGGGAAACCGAAATGTAGTTTTGATTCCTTCTGTTCATTAAAGGCATTTAATATGAGGCCTGTAAGTTACTGAAGAATCTATCAGTGTTGTGACCCAGCAGTTTAGCTGTCTTTTGCATTTGTATTTGTGATGGAATTAGTGCTTACTGCAGAGCAGCTAGGAAGCAAGCGCTTCTTCGATTTGATTGGTAAAAAATAGGGACCTGATTTGTTCTCAATTATTTATTTGCTTGGCTTCTTTCTTTCATGCCATAGCCACTCAGAGGAAGGAAAAATCCTGCCTGTGGCTGTGTTCACGTTTACCTGGAACTTAAGACCTTTTTGTTGTTTTCAGGCTAATACCTTATCAAACAGGTGGCACCTGCAAGCAGTTTTAGAACTGTACTTGTTCTTGTGGTAGAAGGAAGCATTTGCATTGAGCAGGCGAAGTGAAAACATTACTTTCAACGTTACTGAAGTATTCTTGTTTTTTCCAATAGCTCTGTCAATTTGATCAGGGAATAATTACTTCATTGCAGAGCTCTTAAGTTGAGCAGGTAGAGATAAGCCATATGAAGCTATCTGTCCAAAGTTGGATTTCATTTTGGCATGAACCTTTGCCAGGATGCTTTAAATACTGCCATTCATAGGGTATGAGAGCCTCTTCTAGGAATGTAAACATTGTAATGATTGTTGTAATCAGGAGTAAAGTAAGTGGCTACCTTTAAATTAGTGTCTCCATTCAGGGTTTTGAGCACAATCTGCCTTTGTTCCTACTGATGATTAAAGCACTAGTTGAAGCATTCTTTTCTATCCACGTTTCTTCAGATTCACTGACTCTGTAATTGATTTGCTGTGCATCAGTGAGAATCTAAATGATTATCAAAGAATCACAAGATTGTGTATATGGCAGAAAAACTATTTATTTCCCGGAGGAAAGCTATGATTCTCATTTCATTTAAACTAATAATAATTAAGTACTTTCCATGGAGTGTGCCCTAAGTTACACAAGCATTCATGAAAGCACGACAGAGCTTTGGATTTCATGTATGTTCTGCTATGTAATTTTAATGTTTCTAGTCTTTCTTACACTAACCTCCCCCCACATTTCTTTTTCAATTACATGATGTAGTTCTACTACATTTCTGTTTGCTAGTATATCGTTTTTATTTTTTGTAGAGCAGTAGTATGTTGTGTTTGTAGCAGACGGTGGATGGCATTTCATTTTTTTTCTGTTCTTAGTACTTCTTCTACCACTTAACATGGAGGTGTTTTTTTTTTCCAAACTACACACAGTCTACGCATTCATCTAGACCAAATCCTGAGATGCAGACAGCTGAGGTATTCAGATAAGCCAAAGAACAACAGACCCTTCTGTTTTTTTAAATAATCATAAAACTTAGGTTAATTTGCAATGGAGAACAGCACCTTAATGCTCATTTATATTTATATATTTATATATATTATCAAAATATATTCATATATATATATATATGTATATATGTATATATATATGTATATAATATATATATTCATATATATTTTAATAAAGTGACAAAGCAATTATTTTCCCTATTTCAAAGGGTTAACCTTTATATCAAAATGGATCTCCATAGACTAACTTAATGCTAAGCCATGTCTAAAATATCATCCATATGCAGCATGAAAAACATTTACAATTCAGAACTGAAATGGAAGGTGAATGTTCCTTAGCATCTAAAACCATTATCTATGTTCTGTGTTCCATCAGCTACTCTTAAAAGGCTTTGTTTGTGTACTGTTGACACAAAAGTTCAAGGAAAAGAGATTGCAATTACTGCAAAAGCATATTTCTGTTTACTCCCCCCCCCAGCCTCCCCCAAGGAGGGGGAAAAAAAAAATAAAAATAGATTTAGGTAAAGCTCTGTAGTTCATGTTCAAAAGAGCTCTGAAGGGAAGCATACTGTTGCAAAAATGATTTCTGTTCTTCATAATTCATTAAGCTATCATTTGATTTGGTATTGTTTGTTTTATGAATGGTGTGTAGTTCATTTTTACATTAATTCTTCACCGAGGAAATACAGATTTAATTCTTTGTTGTAGGTTCATTGGAGAAATATATGGTTTAAATACAGTAACTTTACATTAGTGTTTACTTATGTACTTGTAATTTTAACAACAATTTTAAATTCCTTTTGCTTATGTGACAGGTAGTGAAATTTACAAAATCCTTTGAGCTGCTATCTCCAAAATGCAGTGCTGATACTGAAAACAGGTTGGTGCTTATGTCTTCTATGGTAATAGATTGCTTTATATTTTTCAGTTTAAAATTTGTTTGATCTTGGTTTTATTTTGTTACGAATCTTTAGATAGATTTACTTTAAGAGTGTCAGCCTACTGTTTTTACTCGAACAAGATTCCTTTTTGCTTCAAATGAAAAACTGAATGAAAAAATGAAAAACAATATTAACAATAAATGTTAATATTGCTACACACACTGATATAACATTATATCAATATCTCAAAAGAGAAGCCAGGAAACTAATGATGATTTTTGTTATTGAACTTGTGGAAAATACACAAATGTTGTTTTGCATGGTAAGTGCTGAAGTAAAAAATTACAATTTTTTTTAAATTGTTTGCTGATCTTTTACAAAATGCTTCCTTACAGTTGCATAGAAAGGTTTCCAGTAAGATTTGATTTCTGTTCTTGTGAAGCTGTAAAACCTAAAAACCTCACAGAACATGCATATGCTAAAAATTGCATTCCTGTGAGTAATTCTGGTGTGGGAGTCCAGTCAAAACAAATGTATGTTTTGCTTAATAGGATCTGTTTTTAAACATTGACAAAGGGCTAGCTGTAAGTAGTAAGATATCTGTTTGTGGGATTATTGTACTAATGCTTACAAGATAGTATAACTGGTAACACAGAAGTTCACATAAAAGGTCCTAAATATCAAATAAATGGATGAAGTTTCAGGGATATTGTGAGAAGGCTTCTCCCGTATTTTAAGACCCTAAATCAATGATTAACTCATGTATATTGAATGCAAAATAAAATGATTCTAATTCTAGATTATAATTTTCCATGTGGAATTGTTGCCATAATGGTGTAAGCCTTCTCTCCATCTTGCAATACATAGCAGGCTTGAAGATGACTTTGTGCTTTGCCACACACATTTTTTTCAAACAGCTTTGAAATATATTTATGGATAATTTCCTGCCTTTAGTGCTTTTCTTATCTACTTCCAGTGTGGTAAGAAATTGCCACTCCATTAAGGTTAATGTGCATATTGTCCTCCAAATTATGACAGCTCCTAATTCTTAAGGTTTTTCGTAGGTTGTTGTCACAGAATTACTAAATTTACTAGCTGACAGCAGAGTCCAGGTCCACAGAAAGACAGATAGAAACTAGATCTCTTGTACTCTACCAACCACTGAAGAGATGGATTCTTGAGACAAAATAGGAAAGGGAAGCAAGTGATAAAAAAAAAAATTAAATAAAAAAATAAAAAAAATCACTTTACAGGTTAAACATGAATAAATAATCTGTTTATCCATCTGGGACCTGTAATTTAGTCCCTTTCAGAAAGAGAATCAGGGTAGCACCTGCTCTTTCCTAGGTCAATTAAATGGGTGACCATACCTTCCTTTTGTTAGGGGTCAGAGGAGTGAATCAAGAGATGTGGTTGTTATTCCTGTTTTTGTCATGCTTGATCAGTAGCCAGCTTAGTCAAGACAGTGTAGACTGGTGTGAAAATAACCAAGCTGCCTTGTTTCTTGTTACCATAGTTATGTTAGCATGTTACCAAAAAGCAATTTGTAGTAGCCTGCACTGCTTCTAGTCGATTGGCTCAACTTTTAGTTAGAGAGATGAATAAACACATGCCAACTATTAGTAAGATTTATAAAGGTCTATTTCTGTGCATTTTAATGTAAAGACTGCTTTTCCTTCATTTTTCCATCCAGTGGGGGGAGAAACTGGTTTTACAAAGATTAAGTTGAGACTGGCAGATATGATGTTGCATTTGGATCTAGCACAGGCACAGCTTGAGTTGTTGGCACTATAGTGGAAAAATAAAGGTTATTTAGGATACAGAACAATGCCAGGAGCCCTTGGCATTTGAGCATTTCTTCTAGTGAGTTTTGCCCTTTTCATTTCACATTCTATGGACCTAACTAATGCAGTGTCATGTAGGAAAAGAAATGGCAAGATGAGTTTCTTCATCATGACTCCAATGGAGATAAATATTACTATTTTGAAAATTTAGTGGAAATATAAAGAGGTTATAACTGAAACCATTCTCAGCCTGTAAGTTTTAATTTGAAGGAGGGAGAAACTCCAAGGACAGCATAGTGTTTTGGTTCTAACTTTTCCTCCTTTGGTTTTAGAATAAATTAGCTTATCTTTTGCCTTTTTCATTTCTGCATGGTGAAAGTTTACCAGCTTAGTCCTTGAACATTATAATGAATATTCACGTCTTTTTTTCTTTGCTGTTGGTTATGAAGAAATACCTTGTGAGACCACACTTGAATTTATCTGTTTGACAGATTCCAGCACGTGCCAGGATCAAGTTCAGTTCTGATTCATAAGATACAGTCCTTTATGACAATCACTTTATTCTTGAAGTACAGGTTTTCAAGTTTTTCTCTCTTTGAAAGAAAGCTACTTGAATCTTTGAAGCCTTGAGTTCACTTTGGATGTATTCTGGGCAGAGGTGAGCGGGGGGCAGGTGCTGTGAGCCATGTCTTTCCTGCACAGAAGGCATCTTAGTGGATGATGTAGCTGAGATTCCTATTCAATAACTTGAATACCAGAGGCGGTGAGAAGGTGAACAACCTTGGCTTGTATGAGCTGCACAGAAAATATCTGTGCTCCTTCCCAGTTAGGCAGGCATAGAGAAAGTGCAGAAATCTGTGCTATTGCTGTTTCACTGCTGCCATCCCTAGGAGTGATGCTGACTCCTGCATCGCCTCATTCCCTGCAGTGTTTTTTATGTTTTTTAAGCCATATTCCTGCTCTTCTAGTCCTAGGAGTTGGAAGGGTTTACGTTAATTTAGAGTGAATTACAGGTAGCTGTGCTTCTGGCTGCCCCTGTGAGAGAATGTCGCTTTCAGGAAGATCACAAGAACTCAATTGTGTGAAGGGAGCCTGCAGCACCACTCAGTGCTCTTAAAGCAAAGCATTCTTTCCTGTCTGGCACATGATGCTTCTGCCTGTGTGTAGGCAAAACAGGAGGCAGTGGCATGCAGCTGCCTGCATTAGTCCAGCAGTCCAGCTCACAGCTTTCCATGGTATATTGTTGCTTGTGATTTTTAGAGGCAATTCTGATTGTTCTGAGCTGCTGAGAATAGAGAGGGAGCCAGCTGGCTGAGATTCACATCAGAATTTAACACTGATAATTCCTCTGGTGAAAGTCAAGTGCATCTCTTCAGAGTGTGGTTGTAAAGCACTTGCAAAGATTGGGAATGATGCAGAACATACTGCTAATACTTCTTCCTGACTTGATATCATTTACAGTTTAAAATGCTGAACAGTTATACTCTAAACCCGATTTAAAGTGTCTTAGATTATAATGAAAGTATCCAGATTTTTAAGATATGAAGTGGGGATCTGTGCATTTGAAATTAGATTCTTATCCTGAAAGATCTTTTTCCTCCACTTCTCAAGTATATTGATGTCCTCAAATAAATCTTACATCATAAAGATATATTTTCTTACCTAGCTCAAAAATAATTTCTTTCAGTGAAGGCCCCTGTCAAAGTGCATGTGCAACATTTATTACAGTCACTCAAAATTCTTATCCCAAATTAAAGCTGATACACTTGGATTTCTTTGTGTAAATCATTATTATTATCTTTATTTATAGCCTTTTAGGAATATTGAGTTTTCTTTCAAAGGAATGACTTTAGTTAAATTAGCTTTCAGAAAATTAATGTGGCCGACAAAAATCAATCCTTTCATTTTGATTGAGTCTTCTGAGCATGTTAGTGTGCATTTGTCTTCATCTTATCCATTATTTTGAAGTTTCAAGCCATTGTGGTCTTCTCCACAGCTGTTCAATCACTTTCTCCTAGGTAATGTCTCAGGTGTTGACCAGTTTTATTCTCAAAGCTAAGATAGTATGCATACAGGTGTTCACACAAATAGCTTCTGCTTGCCAATCATAAAAACCTGTTTGCAATAAGTCAGTGAGCATTTTCCTGCTGAGTAGACAGGGGAATGGGTGAGGATTTTCAAGGTCTATGTGGACATTGAGTTTTCAGCACAAGCTGAGGTGATGCTGGTGTATTGAGCTCACAGTTCTTGTATCTTATGCTCTGTAGTCCTTTAGTAGTTGTGGCAGGTCAGTCAAGTAGGAAATATTCACGTATTATATACCTAGCAGGATCCACCTGCTGTAATACACAGTATTGATTTCAAGACTCATTTCACAATCCCTTCTATTGCCACTCTGATCTAGCACTGCAGATGAAAAAACATTCCACAAAAATCTGAAATTCTGTGCTTTCAGGTAGCTTTACAGAAAATTTTTAGTACTGGTTTCAGGCTTATCTCCCACAGAGATGTGAACATGATCCTGTTATTGATTCATGTGTCAGTGGATTTCATTATTAAATGCGTAAGTATCGTGGGAGATCAATGATATTTTCAATCAAAGGAGTTGCATAAAGAAGAATTTCTTTTATATCCTCTTTCAATAAATACCAAATTACTGCTCCAAAGATAATGCTTAATAACCATTAGTAACTGTGAACAGTTCTGCAGTTCCTGTGAGAATGCCTGTAAAACGTGCTGGACTTTGAAGCAATGTTGAATGTATTCTTTCCTTCTCTTGCTATATCTTTTGATAGTTTCAAAGAAGGTGTGGAGAAATCACCATCTTACTCTGACTGGCTAATAAATAACAGCATTGCTGAACTTGTAGCTTCCACGGGTCTCCCGGTGAATATCAGTGATGCCTATCAGGATCCTCGCTTTGATGCTGAAGTAAGATTTTTAGAAATGTGAATGTAACGTTGTATTTTTGGCATTGAAACTAATACAATGCAGTTTTACAGTTACAAGGTAAAATTACAGTTACAAGTAAAATTGAGTGTATCAGTTTTGAATTATTTTCTTTCCAATATGTCCTTGTTCAGGCCTGATGCTATTGATGTGACTTTGTATAGCTAACACGTCACTGAATTAGCTTATGACTACAGGCAGTTACTGGCCTCTTGGTGATTCTTTTTTAGTTAATATTTAAGCAATACTTTCCACTATCAAGTACTTTGAGATTTACACAAATTGATTTTCGTTGCTGAAAATTCTGCTGTTGATGTTAGCAATGTCATTGCTAGCTGTCAGAATGACTCAGATTGTGCACATGGAGTGTAGACAACCAACATCTAAAGAGACAAATGTTGTCTGTGGTCTTACTTGGCCAACTACCCTCTTAATCTGGTATTTTGCACAAAACAAATGTACGTGTTGGACTAGTTATTTCTCCGAGATGAATAAAGCTCCTAGTAGATGTTTTGTATGAATCCTAAGGTATTAGTTCCAGTCACAGCTAGAAAGATAAAAATGCATGTACATATATATATACGTATAGAACCTGAATAAATGTTAAAGGCATAGGGAAAGATGAAGTCTTCACTGCATTCTGTCCAGTGGAACCTTATTGCTATGGGGGACGTGGCCAGCAGTTTGGCTGCACGTGAATCAGTGGATAGTCTTGGTCAGCAAGCTTACCAAATCATAACACTACAGTAAATGTGCTTGGAAGTATTTCATGCAAGAGTTTCCTTGGCTTCGGTTTCATTACGTATGTCACTATAGATAGTAGTGCCCTCATCAGAAGACTTTGTCAAAAAAGAAGAAAACTAAAAGGAGTCAGCTGTAAAAATGGTCAAAAAAAACCTATGTTAATGCTAATTTATTCAGAATTTTTAGAAATACAATTAATGCCTGGGGTCTATTCCTTGCCAAAGAGATATGCTGAAATAAAGCATGCCAATCCTTGCTATGTTTGCAGTTGTACTTCCAGTATGTTATGTCCTGAATAATTCATTTGTCTTGTATTTGGTTTACAGTTAGTCCATTTGAAGTGCTGCCCAATTTATATATAGAAAAAAATCTTTTGATATAAGGGGCAGCTATTATTTTTCTGTTGGTGGGTTCATGTGAACATTTTATTCTTAAATTTAACTGTTGCAATGGATTATTTCTCTGGATAGTCAAGTATAGTAAAAGAGGAGCATAATGGAAGCTCTCATTTCTATATTTTAGGCTGACCAGATTTCTGGCTTTCACATAAGGTCTGTTCTCTGTGTTCCTATATGGAATAGCAACCACCAAATAATTGGTAAGAACTTCCTCATAGCCACACCAATTTTGTGCTAATGTAAATTGAATTCTGTCTTTTTAATTCTGTGTTCCTTTTCTTCTTTTTCCCAGCTGAATATTGTTAAGAAGTTACGGTACCTAGGATGCATGCTAAGTATCCAAGAAGGGATGTTTTGACTTGGATACTGTATGGACTTTTTCAGCTTTCCCATTGTGTCATTGTTAAGTTATACATGGTATTGAAATTTGAAAACAAACACGATGAAAACTGAAATGCTAACACTATTAGTGAAAAAAGTTTGTTGTGCTTTGATAGTTTTTTTTGTGGGTCTGACCTTTTGCGTATAACTCATGTAACTGTTTCTGCAGCCCTGCCAGACAGTTTCCCTCTTTAACGATGAAACGCACAGCTAGGGATGACTTACCGGAGAGACTGAGGCAGCTGTCAGGGTTGCCTGAGGCAGCAGTGTGTGCTGGATTAGGATGTGACAGGGTTTTATTGTCTGTTTGATAGGATGCTTCCCAACAATGATACACCTGCATTCTTACTGGCTTTTGGCTGAAAAAAAGAAATAATATTTATAAATTAGTACCGGTTTCCTCCTCAGCTTTCCCCAGAAGATTTCAAGTCAAAGCTGAATCAGTTTAGACTTGTAATATTTGCATCCCTGTATGCTGTGGCAGTTGGTGAGAGCTGGAATCAGGATTGCTTTGAAGGTACTCAGTGCCATGCGGAATCTTTGAGCCTAATCAGTAGAGATGTTGTGGGAAGTGAGCCTTTTATATATACGGCTCCTTCTTTGTTGTGAATTGCATATTACCTGAGAAAAGTAGAAGAGAAACTCAATGCTCAGAAGCTGATAGTTCGTATTGTTTGACTAAGGGTAAGCTTAGCTAAATGAAGTAGAAATGGTTTGTTGCAGTAGAACTCTGTTCAGCTAGAGCCAAGACTTGGAGTGCTTCCAGGTGGTTTAAGGAAACTATTTTTTTCATTGTTCAATACATCTGTGGACCAGTCATGAGAAGGACAAAAAAACGGGTCTTACATGCCCAGATGTTGTTAAATTAGCTGATACTTAGGAATGAAGGTCAGTGTTGGTCAATTATGTAACTTCAAATTGCTAGGACAACTAACTTTACTCTGTTTGTGAAATCTTTTCTGAAAGGGATGTTGAACCTTTTCTGAAAAGCACTGGGAGTCATTTTGTTTGGCTCCCAAATGTTGTACTTACAGAACAAAGACTAACAGCTGAAAGAACTAAGCAGTCCTGGTATCAAAACAGACAGACCTCCACATATTGATGTCTGCTTATTGTTTTTCTTGATAAATATTTGCAATTTTGCTTTCCAGTTTTACAAATATATTTTAAATGTTACTATTGAATAAAGTGTTCTGCATTATTAATTTGGTGAATAAAGATTATAATTTATATTAACTCTTTCTAAAGGGGTAGCTCAAGTGTTGAACAGACTCGATGGGAAGCCCTTTGATGATGCTGACCAGCGACTGTTTGAGGTAAGAGACTTCAATCTTGTAGCAGAAACACGCTTTTTCAGCAGGATTTGATATTTCTGGGTAATGCTCATTCAGCCTACTTAAGGGAGGTGGGAATGATATGTTATCTACTCAGGCTACTCATATGTTATCTACTCAGGCTGCATCCTGTCTGAAATAGCTCTTGCATCTGATCATTCTCATCTAATTAAGGCCAGTGACTTACATTCATTCTCAAGGTAACTTATATAAACATTCCTAAAACTTTTAGTGATTTCTTTTCAGTTGCTGACCCAGCATTCATCTTTATGTTTATATTATAACAAAATGATCATTGATTTTCTTTTCTCTCTTCTTCCTCCCACCTTTCTCTCATTTTAGGCCTTTGTTATTTTCTGTGGTCTGGGCATCAACAACACGATTATGTATGACCAAGTGAAGAAATCCTGGGCAAAACAGTCTGTGGCTCTTGATGTATGTGTACTTCTTAATGAAACTTCTTTGTGATTCATAAGTTACAAGTACAGAAAGCTACTGCTCCTGAATTTATTGTACTTAGCATCATTTTTTAATCTACTTTTCTGCACCTTAGAGCAGTGTTTTACAGAAGTCCTGAAGGGAAACTTCAGAATACACTTAGCTGTGGAGCTCATGCACAGCTTTACATAATTTTGAAATCCCATCTGATGTCCCTGATTGTTCTTTAGTTGTTATGGTTTTTTTGGGGGGGGGGGTTGTGATTTGTTGTTTGTTTTTGCTTTAAGAGGGGACAGTGATGCCAAGCTAGTTCATTGCAGATACAGGTGCTGGAATGAGTCTTTGTCTTCTCCATCATTAACTGACATTTGTTAAAACTTGCTGTTTTTACATAGCCTGTTGTCTTTCTTTTCTAGTGTTGTGAATGAGAAGTAGTGTGAACAGGAAAAAAGTGATCAGTAGAAACTCTGCTATTGTGTATCAGAGCAAACGCACAATGGTCTTCCAGCACAATGCCTGTCTACACAACATTCAGAGCAGTTAAATGGATAAAAAACTGATGTCTGTCTTCCTCCACTAACTTGGAAAGAATTTCTTTTCCTGCGTTTTTCCCCCATTCAAGAAGAGCAAAACTTATCTGCTCCAGTAAAACAGACTCTAGAATGCAGAACTTTCAAAAAACAATAGCTTCTATAAGCGGATTCAACAATGAAGTTCTATATTATATTCTAGAAATTCTAAACATAAGATAGTGGGGAAAAAATCACAAGGATAAAGCTTTGAACTTTGAGAATAGCTTTAGAGATTTACATTATTCCTATCTGAATCAACAACTGAGCAAAGTTTGAACGAAATTTAATTTCTTTTTGAAGCATTATGCTAGACTCAATTTTTATAAGATTCCTTCAATGAAAAGAGTAGATTTGTATGATTTTAGTATTATAATAAATTTCAAATCTTGTAACAATAAAATTATCTAGACATCCCTGATGTGAGCATGCTTGTAACTGTGGAGCTCCTTCAAATTTCCACTGTGCTCACCGTTGTGATAAGAACCAAAACACCAGCTTTATTCTGAATGACAGGAATTTCTCTGACTTAAAACAAAATGCAAACCAAACTGGATAGCTAAGAAGATAGCATTTTTTTTTTCCTCCTTTCCTGAAGATATTGAAGATATTTGTCTTATGTATCAGGAATCAACCCTATAAAGCATGTAAACACGTTAAGTCTTTTAGAAAACATTCTAAGCATTAGTAGCATTTTGATTATTCTTATTTATGTGTCCCTTTTGGAGGGAAAGTGGAAACCTTTGCTGCTCTGGCCTGCTGCAAAGATTCCTTCTTTACATGTCACAGTCATTAATTACTACAAATTCTCACAACTGCAGTAATTTGTGCAATATAACAACTTAGATTGAATACTCTTCCTAGCAAGAAAAAAGCAGTTGCAGGCATCACACTTAAATATATAGATATAAAACACAGAAATTGATTTACTACTGAAATTTTGAATTTCTTGCTTTATAATACAACTTCTTTCTCAGATCTAAAAAGGACCCATAGTCGTATAACTTGAATATACATAATAGATTTGATAAATGGCCAATATGCCTCATGACAGAGTAATTCCCTCTGTAAATGAATGACAACTCATAAGATATAGCAGAAAAATACTGTACAAAAGAAAAGTATATGTTGAAGGACTGTGAATTAATTTCTCAGTAAGAGAATACTTTATTAATACGTATGCATTTAGCTAGGGTGACGATGAGTGATATTTCATGATGACATTGTTATCATAAACAATCAATTTGATTTATATTATTTAAATATTCTTACCCAAGTGCAGACATACAATTCTTGTAAGACTAACTAATAAATAGAAAACCAAGAAGTAAATAAATGCTGGGGAAAGGTTGACTTTAAGGATTCAAAAATTGTGTATGATTGAAAAAAAAAGAATAATAAATATTAGAGAGGACAGTAAAAATCTACAGGGATATGAATGCAGATAAAGGAGAGGCTTTTTTGTATTAAGTGTAATCTGTCATAAGCAGAAGACCTGTTTTTCCTAATTTTATAGATTTCCGAGAGAAACTGCGCTAGGGCAGGACATAGATACTTTCTGAGGAAGGATAGATTATAGTTATGGAAAGTAAAACATGGGACAGAACAAGTACATTGGCATTTGTAATTTAATCTTTCGTAGTACAGGGATTTCCTGTTACTGTAGAAGTCAACGCCTTTAAAACTAACATGAGTAAATACTTTTTGGGTTTATTGCCACAAGGTATTGCAAGCCAAGGGCATTTGTAAGAGTGTTTGGTTATTTGTATGAGTAGCAGGAACATTCGTATATGAAAGCAATTTTAAAATTAGGAGTCTATATCATAGCTTAAGTACATGAGCAGACTAGTTGTTGCTGTGGGGTGAGGAGATTCTTGGTAGAAGTACTCTGGCTTTCCAGGCTCTCCTGTGGACTATTGCTTCCTACCATGCAGCACAGGATGGCTTTTGTGCCCTGTGGAGTTGATTGTTCAATGCCAGTATCTTCATATAAGTATATAACGTATGCCATGTATGCATACTTATAGGTTGTTACACTAGATACACAGTACTTAATGCATTATATTTGATGCTTTCTTCTACACAACAGAAATGAAAAGAATGTCAGGAGTAAGAGTAATGTCATAGAGGTGCTAATTTGCATGCAATGATGTGCCATTAGCAGAGGCATTAAAGCTCTACTATGTAGCAAAAGGCATTATTTAATGTCTATAAATCTACAGTTATTTTTACATTAAATTCTTTCTGTTTTAATTGCAGAACTGCAGGATAACAATGTAGGAGCACTTATAAAAGTACTTACTATCCATGCTTCATTACAAAATGACCCAAAATATAAATGTCACATGATAACCTGCAATTAATAATTGTATGTTGATATTCAGAACTGAATTATCAGGCATACGTATTAATTAAATTTGTTTTTAAAGTCATTGACTAGACTGCAGGAAAGAGCCCTATTATTTCTTGTTGATTCTACAAAAGTGTTTTTTTATCTTTTTTTCTGAGGCAGGTTTTATCTTATCATGCAACATGTTCAAAGGCAGAAGTTGATAAATTTAAGGTAAGGATTTAAACTTTTAATTATTTCTGAAAATATAACAGTGAATTAAAATGCATGCAGATTAAAGTTTTATTTTATATAAAAAGTAGAAATAATAATCAGCAGGATGTATTATGTGTTAGGCTGTCAGACAGAGAAAGTGGAAAATAAAATCTTAAACGTGATGAAGAGATGCAGTGATAGGTGCACAGAAGCAAAATATCATGGTGCCATCCTCGGCTGCTGGAACTACACATCAGTATGGGTTTGGTGGCCTCCTTAGCAAGAACACCCACGGGGAAGTCATACCACAGTAACAGCTAAGGAAGAAGCTAGAGAAAATGGGGAAAACATCAGGCTTTGCTAGTAGTGTGGAAGCTTTTTTGTGTTTACTAATGAAGTAGAGGATTCACAATCAAGATTGTGAATAGTCTCAGAGGGATGGATATAAAGGTAAGAAATCCTCTTCCAACTTCTTGAAATGCCCTGGGCAAAAGTGTAAAGCAGTGCATGCTGAAATTAGCGTTGCTAGGAATCAATAATTATGCATTCATGCCAAATTCTGCCTTGCCAAGAAGTAAAGGGTAGGGGAAATTGTGTCCTTGCTCTTTCAATGCTGTCGGCACTCCAGAGCTGTTTTTGTGATGTGCTTTGCCCTTTTCTGCTCAAGATAACCTAAGGAAACTTGGTGGCCTTTCTTTGTCTGCAGCAGGTCTAAGTCTATGATGTAGAGAGTTTACCAGTGCTCTCTGAGAAGCTCCTGTGGTGGATATCAGCGTTAGCCTCCTGTACACAATGTACATCTGGAGGCTGTGGCAAGGTCTGGGCTGTTGCAAAAGATGATCACATCTCCTGGTGTGACTTCCTGGTGTCTGTCTGACCAGTGCTTCATGGCTGCTTTACAACTTGTCTTGCTAGCCACAGCTTCTCTGTACTGTGGAGGCAGCCATGATGAAACCTGTGAGTGACTTAGCAGAACAGGTACTAGTGAGTTACCTGGGCTGTGAAAAGCAGCACTTGATAGTTCATTAATCGTCTTTTACAGCCCAAATGAAAGCTACGTCTTAATACTGCAACAGTAGCTGGTGACAAGGTAAAATGATCTTTATATAATATCGTACATTTTAGTGCAGTTGCCCACACCTTTCTTAGATGAAATTTAGATTACTGGAAGCAAGTTACTTGAAGATCACTACTGCCATCAGAAAGTATTTCAGCGTGCTTAGTAAGTTGTACTTGGACTTACAGAACACCAAGCACTGCGCAAGAAACAAGTGAGAGAAAAAGATGAAGGACCATGAATGTTTCATTGTATTTTTGGTATTTAATTTACCTTAGAATAACAGCATGTAATATAGCTTTTGCCAAGATTCAGCAAATAGCTTGCTGAATTCCAGAGACTCTTCTTGATTGTCAGCAGTTCTCCATTATGATAGACGTAGCTGAAATAAAGGCTCACTGTTAATTTTTTTTTTTCTAACTTAGATGTTAGTGTGAGGAGGTGTCCTCATTAATAGATTTGTTAGTTTCCAAATAAGGAATATGTTGTCATTATCTATTTACCTTGAAGACATAAAACTATTCATTTAACTGCAAATGGTAAGATAAAAGAAGTGAAAAGTGTTTATTAGAAAGCACAGTAGCTGTATTTTTGAATAAATGATAGAGATAAGAAGATAAGGACCATACTAGAGTAATGCTTAAAGTAAGATGACTTTTTTTTCAGAAGAATATTTCTCTCCTATATCTATTTGTCTTGCTTTCTATTCCCCCAAAATATGAGTGCTGGGTAGCATTTGTAGTGTCTTGCATCAATGATCTTAGAGTGAGAGAGAGATGACCAGCTTGCCTTATGGGTTCTCAACAAAGAGCTTATCCCCAGAGAGAGCCATCCATCTATGGGATAAAATTGCTCCTGTCTTCCCTCTTGCAGAGTTCTGGCAGCTGATCTTCCTGCCAAGGTCTCCTGGGGCATCCTACCTACCTAGAAATCTGTTCTTTATCATTGTTTGTGATATTGTTATATTTTGTGTAAGCCCTTTGTTATTTGAGGGTCATCCTGCAGACTTTACTAGCTAGTAAGCAATTCCTCCCTTTGGAAATGTTTGGGGCTTAAGTGTCTCTGTTCCTTTCACTGATTTATTGGCACATGTCAGTGAAAATGTCTGTTATGATTTACCTGATGTTCCTGTTCAATCAGAACAGGAGCAACACCCTTGATAGAAACATCTAAATGAGAATAATGTCTGTAGATCACTTCTGGCTTTTCAGAAGCACCTTTCTTCAGCAGTTTGAATGGGAAAATATGTGGAATACCATTGGTTGTGGAGCTGAACAATACAGGGAGAAGTTTGGGATGATGAAAAATGAGGGTAAGATAACTGACCATGAAATGCAATTGCATTGCTTCATATCAGGTGTCAACAGCTATCTGAAAGCAAAAGTGGCAGAATCAATTCATACCAAACTGTATTTGCACATTTTTGAAGGGATTCCAATTCTGATGTTACTAAAGTGTAGGTTTAATTGTAAAAATCTGAAAGCAGAGTTCAAAAATGCTTGTATGAGTAGAAAATGTTCCATTAGTGAATGGAGGTATTTTTCTCAGAAGAATACTTAATTATGTGAATCATTATTCTAAAAATTCATGTCATCAGTCCTTTTCAGTATTTGCATTAAAGCTTTTGGGATTTGTTAGCACTGACGCTAGCAGGCAGGCGATACTCAGGAGGCACAGAGCGGATGTGCAGCTCGGAGGCAGTGTGGTGCAGCTCTGCTGACCTCGAGGGGACGCCTGCGGGTTCTGCTGCCAGTACCTAGGGTGAGTGGGATGGAAGGAGCACACTCATCATCTGGTGAGCTCCTTTCAGCGATCAGAGGGGGTCTTAGCCCTCAAGACAGATGCAAACACTGCTTCCTAGATCTAGGTTCAGAGTCTGAGCAAGCCTTTAGTTTCTGTAGGTGATGGTCTGACCCTAGGGAAGTTTGCCATTGATTTCAGCAGACTGAAAGATATTGCTGCTTTCAGCTAAGTTTGGCATCTGTAAAGCTGCATAGTGGTCTTCCCACTCTCTATCCATTTATTCATGATAGTCAGTCTTTTGCCCTGTGTTTTCTGATAGAACAAGGTCTCTGGCAAAAAAAAGTTAAAAGTTAAGCTTCAGTCCTTTTTTTCATGCCCACTTAAAATGAATTTTAAATAAAACTTTGAGTAGATATGCAAGATAAAATCGGTGTGTTTTCCTGAAAATAGTTAAGTTTTTAAAATGACAAAAAAAACAAGAAAAACTTAATGGATAGAGTTTCAAAAAAAACCTATTGAATCAGAATTAATTATTAATCAGAATTAATTGCAGCATGCCTACCATTAGACCTGTATGTGGGATATACACTGTACTACCAGGTTATATGAAAGAGGATGTGCATTTTGAGGTGTATGAATTAAAAGAAGTCAAAATGTATGTAGGCTGCTGTGGGAGTAATGCTTCCTATTTATCTCCACAGAAACTACAACAGATACGAAGTGCACAAGAGCACTATTTGATAGAGCAAATTCTTAGATGCAAATCACTATTTTTCAACATAGTCACCACCATTAGCTTTGTGTTTTCACCAGAGATGAACAAGAGGCTGCATGCTGTGCTTTGAAAAATCTGCACCAGCAGAGGTGACCCCACTTGCTACCACTGAAATGCACCACCCACCCCTCTCTGTACTCACATCCACTGTTTGGTCTCCATAAATGTTCAGCAAGTACTGATGAAGGTCAGTGGGTGCCATTTGTTCTGCAGGGAGGAGTTCAGTGACACACCTTTACTGAATCCATGTTTCCATATCAGACACCATTTTGTCAGACTGTCCTTCTGCTGCCATCTGTTCCAAGGTAACAAAACAATAATAATAATTAATAGGAAGGTTCAACCTCTACTGCCATACCCCCCACACCTGCCTCTGATGTTGGAGGCCAACAAAATAAAATAGGAGGCAGTACTTTTGAGCACACTGCACATCTGAGAAGAATGAAGTCTTAAGCCTGATTTGTAGCTATACGTCTCATCAGTACTATCAGCATAACAGCACTAAATTCAAAATGAGTTTTGGTGGGATAAATTCAAGTAAAACACCAGTGAATCATAACTATATCAACATTACTTTTTATTCTTTCAGAAGTTAGATATATGTATAATTTTTAAATCTGTGGCAGCTGAACATCATCTTATATTTTAAACTTGAAAAAAGATGTTATTTTCATTATGTTCTAGTGTTAGTGTTTAAATAAAAGCACTTGTAATATTGGAATAGAAAATCTAAGATTAATGAGGTCTGATTAATCTAAGATTGATGATATCCTATAGCAGTGTTCTTCAGTGCCAGGTTTCTTCTCATTGAAATGCAGGCTCTCTGAGCCTAAAAATAGTCACCTTTTAGGCAAATATAGAAAGCCAAGATACGTGAGTAACGAATGCAGAGTTGTGTCCAGGGCAGGATATTTATAGCAGGAGTTACTGCCTCCTGAGACAGAAATGAACAAGTCCTGTGACTTAGACAGCAAGCTGTCTCACAGACACAAATCACTTTTAAATTTAATATAGTTTCCAAAGAGAATATGTAAACACTGTCCTATTATGGGTAATATACAAGAAGCTATTTTTAAAAAGCTAACCTAATTATGCAGCTGTGAATGGTATAAGCCAAATCAATATTTAATGACTATGATGCATTATTTATAGCCCTGTGAGAGATTCCCTTTTTTAGGTCAAACAGCACATAGGAGATCTGCACAACAGAAAATAATGTATCACCTGCTTTATAGAGGCTTCAATTCAAAATGCAGCATTAATAACAATCCCTGTGTTTCTCAACTCCGTAGCCTGAGGTGTAGCTAGCTAAGACTTACCTTCACAAAGGGAGGTTTTGTGTGTGTCTCAAAAAACAGGTATTAATGGAGTAAAAAATGAAGAGAGTTGAACCGAAATGGGAAACAACTTTTAGGACTGCTGTTTTTTATGATATTGTAAACA